GCTTCGTATTCGCCTTCTGATTAACATACCGTTGGCGCATTATTTGGTGACGGTTACCGAGACGAACTGTATACGGAGTTTAAGGAATATATCGAACACCGACCACCACAGAATTGGTGATCCCAACGTGCGAGCGAGAATCAATCTTTGACGACGTAATCCAACTCCGAGAATCCAACGCACTTTATTTCAATTCGAGCTAGCATTTGGATTATAATCATTACTGTGGATTTATTATGTCACCATTTTAATTATACGTACATTATCACACAAACATTATTGAACATAACGTTAATATTCATAATAAACAACGATATTTTACAAACAATTGATATTTTGGTGCAATTTAGTAAGTCCGTTCCTTGTAATTAATTGTACCATTTTGTATTATCATTGTTTTTAACGATTTACTTCTCTCCGTGACATTTACATTATATACGTATAATTTTTGATCTTTATAATCATGTCTTTAAATAACGACACAATAGACCTTCCACAAATTTCGTCCGTGAGGTCCATGAATGTAACTATTCCTCCTTTTAAGATCACAGGTCCTGAACTCTGGTTTATTAGACTCGAACATTACTTTGTTGCTAATCGTGTTCACTTACAGCGAGATAAATTCGGCCATGCGAGCTCACTACTTCCGGATGAAGTAGCCGACAATGTACGAGAGGTTTTAACTAAGCCAGACATCGAAAAGCCATACGACGCACTTAAACAGGCTGTGATTAAAGCCGTCTCATTAAGTGACCGACAAGCCGTCGAGCAGCTTCTCAGTCAAGTGCAGATTGAAGATAGGACTCCGTCGCAGCTAAAAAATTATATGAGAAGCATAATTGGAGACAGAAAAATAGATAAAAACATATTTTATCAGTTATGGCTACGACGACTCCCACCGAACGTTCAGCAGATCCTCGCGATTGAGGACAGCGATGTCAACATAGACAATATTGCTAATATAGCCGATAGGATTTACGAGAGAATGAAACAAACGAGTCCGCAAAGACATAATACCACAGTAGATGAACGAATTGACGCATTACAAAAGGAGATTAACGTTTTATGTTACAAGCTGACGAAACTAAATCAGAGCGATATACAAAGAAAATGGTCGCAAAGTAGGTCGAGAGATAGAAGTCGATCATGTTCTAGGAGACGCTCAGCTCCTACAATATGTTGGTACCACCAAACTTTTGGCGACGAAGCTCGAAACTGTCGACCACCATGTAAATTCAAACGATCACACCGATTGTCGGTAAACGCTGCGACAACTAGAACAGCTTCTAGAAACAGTCGTTTGTTTTACGTTCAGGACAGAGTAACAGGTGCTCAGTTCTTAGTGGACACTGGAGCAGAAGTAAGCGTTGTGCCTCCAGTGAGTAACGAAACGCGAAATATTAATACAGCGCTAACGCTTAAGGCAGCAAATAAATCCGATATAAAAACATATGGCAAGCGTAAAGTAACCTTGAATTTTGGTCGTAGCACTTCATTCCGCTGGGAATTCGTCATCGCAGATGTATCCGTACCTATAATTGGTATTGATTTCTTAAAGAATTCCGACTTACTAGTGGATACCCGACGAAACCGGCTCGTGAACGGAGACCATTCAGTAGTGATAAAAGGAGTGACAACCGATTACGTATCCATGAATTTAGTAGTCTCAAAAGACAAAAGCGAGCCATATAGAGCGCTTCTAAATGAGTTCACTGATTTGACGAGAGCATCATACGATAACAGAGATCTTAAACACACTGTACAGCACCATATTATAACGAAAGGTCCACCGACCAACGCAAGACCACGGAGGCTAGACCCAAATAGGTTGAAGATTGCGAAACGAGAGTTCGAAAAATTGATGAAGCTTGGTATCGTAAGACCGTCCAATAGTCCCTGGGCATCCCCGTTGCATATAGCCAACTATGTACAACGTCTAAAGCAACATATGGGTGATCTGAGGATAACGCTTCCGAGGCAACAGCAACATCGTGTCTACATGCCAAAACGACTGACCGATAGTACCCATGTGTTTATCAGAAGGGATAATGTGCAGCGTCCCTTACAACCGGCCTACGATGGTCCATTCAAGGGGATTAAAAGAAACGATAAAACTATTACGATAGAAAAAGCTGGAAAAACGGATGTAATTAGCATCGACAGAGTCGAACCAGCTTTCATCGAAACCGACGATCAGACAGTATATACAGATATTTCGAAAACCGGCGAACCACCGAAACGTGAGTCCCAATCATCAACGACATCGACCAACACAAACGAAGAAAATCCAGTAACGACGAGATATGGCCGAAGAGTGAGATGGCCGCAACGATACATAGCTACGGTTTTGAATTGATAATTTCTTTTACCTCTTCGAATGTAAATTTCATCTTCATTTTCTATGTACAAATCGAAAATTTTAGCTCATCTATTATTATATTCAACATATTTTATGTATTCTTCCGATCTTCCGTTATGATCTTATTTGGCCTCACGGACATATACAAACTCAAACTTACACATATTTTTAATAACTTATACGATAGTTCTATCATATATCTTAATTTCGTAAATTTCGATATTTCCCATCTTGTTAAATTTGACATTTTTTTTCGCAAACACAGACACTTTTGTATCTTTGTTTGCTGGGAGGAGCTATTATAGCAACTCACATTCAATTGAGTTTGCTCTCACCTAATTCTGTTAAGCCCTTTTATTAACTTATTAAACGGACAAAGTCACCTGCACTATAATAACTTATTGTATCCTTATTACTGTTGCGAATGTATGTACCTTTATTATTGTTATCCTTGTATGAATATGTATGCTCGGCAAGCCTTACTGCCTACGCATTTATTCACGCTACTAGCTTTACTATTAACCGCTTAATTGACTCGATGATTCATTCATTTCACTATGTATATATATGTCCATGTTATTCATATTCAGGACTCGCTCGATCGCTCGCTCTTGCCCTTGCTCTCTCTCGCTCGATCGCTTGCCTGTTTGCCTTTCGGCACAACTATTTCATGCTTGCTTAACGCATCTGTAATTTTGGATATCTGTGTGTGGTCCCTTAATAAACGTAATTAACGCTTCGTATTCGCCTTCTGATTAACATACCGTTGGCGCATTATTTGGTGACGGTTACCGAGACGAACTGTATACGGAGTTTAAGGAATATATCGAACACCGACCACCACACCAGAATATATTATAGACAATTAGATTGAAAATCAACGTGTGTCGGGTTCGGTGAATAACTAACGAATCCTATCCCTACCGAAGTGACCACATCCATCCCAGTGGGTAGATTAATGGAGGAATTTGACAATAGCTTACCTACTCATGGATTACCATTTCCATCTCGGACTAGTTTCGCTTGAAGCACGTCTCACAATTTACCCACTCTTATCATAGTTATATATTGGTAACGTATTACATTCCCTCCTATTATCGGCTCCGTTTTGCTTTTTCTTCTGACACTCATGTCTTCTCAAAGTGTCTGCACTACTAACCAATCAAATCACATATCTATTTATTTAACCCTTGAAAAAATTAACTTTTCTCTTACTCGAATTTTCACCTTACCATTTACATGTAATAGCCAGCGAACCCTCTGCCTGGTAATATGATAACTGTTGGTATGCAGAAACCCCATTGACTTCAGAAAAACTCACTCAAATTAAAATATATGCGAATTTATAAACAACTGACAAATTGACTAGTATTAGTGCAGTCAAATGGCCGCTTAATATTATCACATGCACGGAATCGTACCGAAACAATAAGAAGAGAGTGCAAAGAACTCAATATACTTATACAAACTCGTGAGTGTGATATTGGATACTGGACAAAGAAATTAAAAGCCTGCGTTTTTAGAAAGATGCGTTACTGACTATGTTAGATGCTAAGTTTGGTTTTTAGCTTTGCTTTAAAAGTAAGACACTTCTTTTACATCATTTTTCCCACTAAAATTGTAAACTGTACTACTGAAAGCGTATGTATTTTCTACAAACCATTTCATCTCAAGATGATAATTATCATATACTTTAAGTTCTTAAGCTTACGTTGACTGATAATAGACACTGCCTTCATATATGTGCTTGCCCTCCGTTAGTGTCAAGCATTCCCTATGTTTCAGGTTTTTCTCGCGATTTGTAATCTTAATTGTAATTCTAAATGTCCTTCGGGGGTAAAGTCGTACATCAGTAAGTATTCTGTTTCCAAGTCGTATGTTTTCGCCTTAACTGACGGCGTTTAGCGCACGAAACTAGGTAGTTTGTTGTGTTTAAGTATACGAGGTATTGTGCAATATACTTGGCTTGGAGGCATATTTTTACCAGACATGTCGCCCAACTGAAGATTCCGAAGGACAATGTTTTAAAATTTATAAGCCGTCCCAATTCTCTTGCACATTGATATTAATACGCCTCATGCGCTTCGAATGGTATTCGCCCATTAAAGCCTACTTGAAGAAGAGGCTTTGAAATATTAATATTTTGTTAGGTTCATGAAGAATAAAGCTGTATTGTCGATCCTTTTCACGACTCAAATTTGCTTTGGGTGAAGTGCTTGCCGTACGACGTAAATCGTTTCAGACCTTCATTGCTCTGCTGTTTCAAAATTGTCTCGACTCGATTGTTAGACGTTCATTTTTTATTGTGTTATTGTTTCGTAATTTATCCACTCAAAGTGGGCTTTCATACCACGTATGCTTCGGTAGTATTGCGCGTGTGAGTGACGATTTAAATTTGCAGCTATTTACGCCTCTCTATCGCGTCTTTTCAATCGATTACTAATTCGTCTTTCATCATCCTTGTTGGTTCTGATTGACGTCTAACTGTACTGCTCTCTTAGTTACACCCCGTAATAACCATGTATTACTTATCATACAATAACCCCGATTTTCGATATTTATATTTTTTTTCTTCACATAGGCCTAGACTGGGTGTATTTTAGTTTCGATAAACCTTTTTGGTCAATTGAATTTTCAGTTGATGTTAACCTATACCACTGAAGTTTCTGGAGAACGTGAAGAAACATCTTTAAAGTGGGCCAAATTACTTTCCGTGCATGATTCATTCATGCATGAACTTTCTCAGGAAGTAATTACTATCGGATCATCTGAAGGTTTTTTTTCGTTCTTTTTAATCATTTCAAATAATTTTGTATTCGTTATTCAGAATGTCTGATTGTTATAAAACATGAAGAAGTTTCAAATCCACATTGCCTTTTGATAAAAGATCCAGACGATGTCATATGGTTGTACGATTGTAGCAAGACTGGGACACGTTGTAATGATGGCAAGTGGCTACAGCAAGATTGTGTCACGCTTCACACTGGTGATTATTTCTACCTTTTATGGGATGAAGTAGATGTGACTAAGCGTAGGTTTATCTATACTGCCAGAAAAGAATAATATTTATGTGTCTGTTTCTTAAGGAGTTGGATTTTGCGTTCTTTTTGTTGATGATTTTAAACTTTTGGCTTCCTCTGGTGAGTCTGATAAGAACAAAACTACGGAACTACCGTTACAATCATCATCATCACAGTTAATGAAGCCATCAACATCAAATGATGATACTGATTTAGAAAATTGCTTAACATGTGTTATTTGTGGAGATATCTATTTTGAGTGTTGTAGGTACGTTGACTATACTTGCCCGTATGATGTGTCGTTTTTTCCAACACATTAGTGTTCAACCATGTTTACACAGTTTCTGCACACTCTGTTGGTTGAGATGGAAAAGACATGAATGTCCAATGGTAAGTCAGATTGTATTATTTCCTTGATTATTTTCTCTTCTCATTATGCTTGCTTTAAGTGTCGTAAATCAGTGTCAGCTTATGCTAAAAATCACCAATTAAATAATTTAGTTGATGTATTCCTTCGTAAACATCCAGGTAAGAATTCTTACTTTTGATGATGTCTATATCTTATGATCATTATTTTATTTATAGAGAAGTTAAAATCTGAATCCGAACAAAATGATATAAAACAAGAAATTGCGAGATTAACACGCGTAAGCGCATAATATATTATGGAACTTCTAAAATTAAATTTTATTAGCTTCCAAATCACACTCGTAGATACAATAGTCGAACTAGAAGGTATGTGTATGTATGAAAGAGTGAGAGAATAAATCAATTTGTTCATGTTTTTCTATATATCACCATACTTTTAATTGGTTTTGTTTATTGAAACTAAATACAATTCTGAAGTTATTTGGAGTGTAATGATGTTTATTATACATTTCTCTCTAAATGTCAGATATAGATTGGGGACTGCTATTAGTCATTACCCTGACTAATCATATGACACAAAGTAGTTGGGTGCGTTGACTTTGCCTAACTATGAACTCAGCAACTCTGATTTTTGATTTGCTGACGATATTTCGGCTAGGATTCATAACACTACTTTATCTCTTACCAGTTTTCACCACCTATGATGTAGACAAAATCATTAACGGTGAAGATACTGTTCAGTTGTCCAATTTATGTAACTCTTCCGTAGAATGGGGCTCAAACTTTGAGTACATAAGTAGGTTACTAGTATTTTACCATATGGTCCCTTCGAAATACTACCGTCATATGATAGAACAACAAAGTGAGAAACAGTGTAGTGAATGAGCTGGTGGGACTATGTGTTTTCGTCTAGTGAGATGAGTGAGACATTTGCTACATATTTCCGAATACTGAATATATCGACTGTGACTTGTGCAGGAGTAGGTTAGAGGAAGGCTAGGGGTGAGCAAACCAAAACATTACATCACTCCAGAAAGTTATTTAGTGTTGGAATGAGCCATGTTTGTTGGTACAAACTAGTGCAATTAAGTTGTAGTCCTCACGTCTATATTGATTAATGGTTAGACGGTTTTGGTGATAGGACTCAAATTGGTCACATTTGTGCGAAGCCGTTTGTTTCTTATCTTCTGGTTGTTTATTTTCAATGTTATCTCATACGTTGCGTGTCTTGATTTCATTTCTTCTTTTTGAACCATAAACTCTATACTTAATCTTTCCCATACTATCATTGATACTACTATTATTTCGATTTACTTGCTTTCACCCCGTTAATTTCATCCTGTTATGCTAATGTGGTGTAATAATTTGGGCTAATGCCTATTTATGCCGGGTCTTACATTGATCATGACCAAGTTTGATCACTGAAGACAATAAATTCCATTTATTAGTTGAATTTCTTACCTCTTCGTTTCTTTTTCTCCATATATCGATTTCGTTTAGAAATAGAGAGAGAATTACTCTTACTGGTGGTGACTATGGTTTACTGAGTAGTTCTTCTGGCATTTTTCCTGTTGTTCCGACTATCACTACCACCGCAACAACTCGCAGTGTTTCTACTGGTCCGATAATTATGCCCACTTTACCTATGAGTGCTGGTTGTGTTATATGTTCATGGTTACCACCATCGTATGACCGTCGTGGCAATAGTGTGACAAGTATTAGTGGCATTACTCTGGGTGACCGTGGTCCAAGAATTGAAGAATGTAAGTTTATTCTGGTATAAATACATAATATGTATGCTTATGGTCGTTAAATGACAACCTTTTTTGAATTCACAATATTACGAATCAACAGTTTCCACATTAAACTAAAAAATTCAAGCTTATATAGAAACGTATTCACATGGTTTTACGATACATAATTCAGTCTGTAATGTGTAATATTTTTCGGCTCGTTAAATGTTATCAAGATGCATGTTGGTAGTTGTCATTTCACAGGTTTTCCACACTGTAGTACCTGAAAAGGATACTGAGTTCGTACTGACTTTGTTCACCTAGAAGTATGATCTCAGAGCCAAAGGGCAGCTGGTTGAGGCTGATCACACATGACATTTCTGAATAGTTTTTATTGTTAACCCCATACTCTTGAGGTGTTACTACCGGTCTCGTCGTTAAAGATAATAATAATCTGCGGGGAAAATATTAGTACCATTCAACCTCAGTACACTTGGTGTTACGACTTCTCTCTTAGATCTTGAATTTAATACTTTTAATCCTATCCCTCTCAGGTCGACTTACCTGAGAAGGGGAAACCATATGGAACAGGTGTTCCAACCATTATAACTTGGTTAGATTTTCACAATAATCCGTTTGATTATAATTACTTTTATATATGAGAATGGATACTGAAAAGTGATAACGACTGATTTTTAGTTAATTTGAAAATTCTTAATGATTTAGGGTAAAGTGCCAATCCAAAATTATTATTTGTACTAACTGACCACTGGACATTAACTTATGTTATACTTGTTTGGTCCTTTGTTCTAATTAAACACTTGGTCAATAGTTGAAATGTGACTACTTCTCTAAATGAATCGACATTATGCGCACTAGTGTTTTAGTTTGACATGGTGCTTGGTTATCAGTAGCGAGCCTTATCTGTATATTCTTCGGAATTGATACTTTGGTGAACCATTGGAAAGCAGTGGTTATGGTCCATAAGATAAATGATAATAGGGTGGGTAAAACCGCAGTTTCATATGGTATGGCTCTATCTCCTATTTTCTATTCACTTGTGCTTTGATGCTTGGCTCCGTGATCAACTATATTTGGTCATCCATTCTAGTCTAGTAATCGTGCAACTAGTATCCTTTACGATATTTTATTACCCGTTTCTTCTGCCGTAGAATACCATCAATTCTTTAAATATTAAAAAAGACTCTACATTGGCACCAGATTTTTGATAGCCACCCAACAAATATTAAAATGCAATAAAAAATCGTCATAAGTTATCTAAATGTTGTATGAACACCCATTTGTTCATATGTAGATTATGCTGAAAACATAAATTAATCATTTCTAGGTTGTTTTTTATTTGTCCCAAGTTAACTCATAATCAAAGCATGTTACTGATGATGTATTGGCCAATATGTGCTTATAACGTACATGTGCTAAAACAGATTAAGACAACTGTAATATGGCATCCATATTGTTGTCCCATAACATCATTTCGTCGATTGTCGAGTGAATCTTATCACAAAGATTGTAGTGGAGATTAGGCTATTTGATACTTTTCACTTGACTATTTATGACTTTATAAGGAATTTGTGGAGAAAATGATTGAACTGTGATAGATAAGCAGCCTCACAGAAATGCAGTTTTTGGATTTATGTTTGCAAACTTCATGAATTATTTGAAGCCTCTGTAGGAATAAATTTATGTTTCATTAGCTTCTCTAATTCATTTATTTAAACACGTAAACATTGGTACAAGGAGTCACCAAATAGATATGCGCCACATAAATCATTCGGTTTATTGAGGGTTGGGATACTACCCGGGTGTCCAAACCGAAGCAGGTGGTTTTCTTAGGGGGCCACACCTGGAGTCTTCTACCGAAAGGTCTAATCCACAAGGCAGTGGAGCAACGTCAGGAGATGCAGTCCCATGGTATCCGGTGACCGAAGATTGGTTCATACACCATTTGTTTCCCTAGGATCCTGGAGACCACATGCACCATTGGTTTGGAATGAGGGTTTTCCAACTCTCCTAGGTGTATCCTCTGTATCCACCAACCTGGTTAAAGTGCCGAACATTCACTTTCTATCCTCTCAATTTCGTAAACAACAGTAATGCCACGAGAAGGCAATGAGTAGGAATTCCCTGGGAGTAGTTGTATGCACGTGGCTATGTGCAAGCATTACGAATGGGAGAGCTGACTCTCCCTACTCTCGGCCGTACCAGGGCATTCGGGGGCATTAGCTTATCTAACAAAATATATTCAACTGAGATAATTTGTGATCCTCATTGCCTGATTGTTAACATAAAAATGTCAAAATCCTTTCTGGTTTTCTGCTTCAAGTTTGGTAATATGCAGTACAGAGATGAGTTAATCAAAATTGAGTAAATGACTCTTGTGTTCTATGTGAAATTCAAAACAATGAATGACTTTTATCTTAAAACGTAAAACGACCAAAAGAAATACTTTTGTACAATACTAAGAACATCCAAAATTATGATGATAAATAATGTTTTCTCTTTCACAGAGTAAAATTATTAACATTAAACTTATCAAATACTCAGTTCTTTCTATGTAGATTGTATATAACATGCAAATCAACCCTAAATCTAAATTTATAATCCTAATTGTAACCAGGAAATTTGGAAACTCCTAAAAGACTATTTTCGTCCTTATATAGGTCCGAGTAGATGAATATTCTATAGCCATATGGATGCGTTTATCACTGTTTTTCGGCCAACAGACATAAAAATCTGTAGAAGACTTCAATAGATTCATGAATTATATTAAAATCTTTGTGGTATTATTGTTTCTCCTCATAAAATATTCATTTACAATAACTTTATTGGTAAGTGTTTAAATTATCTTGTTGTTAATATTCAAAACTGAATTTCGATCAGTCCTGGCTAACATAGATGCTTCCAATGAGAATTACCATGATTTAGCAATTCTTCTCAAGTTATGTAGAACAGATGAATTGTGGCTATCAGAGGAATCCTGAAACTCTCTTATTTTTTCTAATTGAAACTTGTTAGTTGGGACATATCTCCATCAAAAATCTCATGTTCACACTTTGACTCGAACCTCAATGCATTGTCTGCTAAGATATGGAATCCAGATACCTACTAAATTGTTCGGTGGATATGATGTTTATTCCAATTTTAGGTACAATTCACCTGTTATAAGTAATTTGTGAAAATGTATCGAGGCGGTTCGCATAAGCTGCACATATACTAGTAAAGAGTAAATTAAACGTTTATTGATAAATACCATATCCGTTGAACAAGTTAATGGCTACGTGAATCTAGTAAACAATGAGTTCGTGTTTAAAACGAAAGTTACTGTTGTAGTGTCGGTTACCATGGTAAGCCCACATAACTCATTCTAGTTTCTGGACAGGCCAATTTATCCATTCTTCTTGAGTCATGTTTTGACCTTGTTAATTATTCACTTATCAACCCGGAATGTTTTTTTACATGAGTGTATGTGTGTGTACATCTTATCCTGCCCATCACACATCTGTAGTTTATTTTTGTTTGGCTATAAATATATATATTGACGCTTGAATAAATCGAGTTGGCTCACATGCCTTCCCCACTGCGCATCATTTCGTTTCACTTCGTTCCCTTGATCGCCTGCCTGGATCAATAACTGTACGAAATATACGTTTTCAAACATCCATTCTCGTATTTGGCTTATTTAAATTCTGTTATTTACTAACGCGAGTTAAGTCGATAATTAGATAGGATTGACGACATATATATTTCGACATGTATATCTCAATAACGATCAATCATACAATCCACCTGGAGTCAGATCCCGGGCCGCAAAAGTGGTGAGCTCGTCGACAACATATCCGATCTAATTTATGTCAAAATGAAGGGCCCCACAAAAGTGGTGAGCCCGACATGATGATCGATTTCAGATTGGATGAGAGCGTTTATCATCGTTTTGGATAACGCATCTGTCACTTCGTTATTATTGTCTTTAGTATACTGTACGCTAGACGTAAATCAGGAAATAAATTCTACTTGCGGAATTTCGCTCGGTGAACAGTTATCCTGCTTGACGTTTAATGCTTTCGTGAAGGGTTTATGATTTATATGCACTGTCAAAATAGTACCCTCTATCATATGTCGGAAATGCTTTATTGCCAAGTAAATCGCTAACAGTTCTCTTCTGAAGCGAATATGATACAACGAAGATGGCAGGAAAATATGGTAAACCAGTGCGACCAGTCAAAAATAAAGATGGCAAGCTAATCACTGAGATTCAATAAGAAAGGAACAGGCGGTAGAACACTTTGAATAAATCTTAAAAAGACCAGTTCTACTGGGCATCGAAGCAGCACATACAGATCTTCCTATAAATGTCACCCTACTAACAATCGGAGAGATCAGCTTAACCTTTAGGCAAACGAAGAATGGGGAAGTAGCATGATCAGACAACATACCGACTGAAATACTAAAGCCAGACAAAGAAGTGACTGCAAAGATGCTCCACACACCCTTCAGTAAGATTTGAAAGGAAGAACAAATACCTACAGACTGAACAGATAAACACCTCATCAAGATATCAGAGAAAGGAGATCTCAGCAAGTGTATGAACATGTAGTGGGCCCGTTCAACTATTTTATTATTGACCTACTTGCTGTAATTTAGACATTAGATCCACTATGTAAAATTATGTATGAGTTTGATTGAGTGCTTGTCTGCATATCAATCTTTATTTATCCTCCCATTGGTTGTAGACACTGAAAATCAATAATTTATTCACCATCGATTAACACTCATAAATATAAATGACATTTCGACACACATTCACTGGTTTCCCTGTGTGATTGCTTTCTGCACTCTTGCGGATTCTTATTAATCATTAATAATAAACTATTTCTATAACTGGTGTTTGGGCATTTGAATAATCTCCAGTAAATCCATAATACTACTACGAGATTTAGCCTACATCAATACTCAGTTAACGGGATATTATTTATTGGAGTCAGATATAGAGGAAATTAGTCTCTACAAACTACAGAGGCATCACACTACTATCAGTACCGGAAGAAGTTTTCATCAGTATTGTTGGATCGAATAAAAGATTCAGTAGACGCTCAAATTCTAGATCAACAAGTTGGATTCCGTAAGTATCGGTCATATGCAGACCATTGTTGAGCAATTACGTGAATAGAATTCGTCACTATTCGTCAACTTCCTTGATTATGAAAAAGCATTTGACAGTACGGATAGGAGAACCTTATGGAATATTCTTCGACACTATAATGTATTTGAAAAGATCATCATCATCATCTTACGGAATTCTTATGACTGAGTACAATGCAAAGTTGTGCACGGAGGTCAACTGAAAGGTGCACTCCTAGTGAAGACTGTTGTCAGACAAGGCTGCTTATTTTCACCCTTTCTCTTCCCTCTGGTTATCGACTGGATTCTGAAGACTGGTACATCTGAGGGGAAGCATGGAATACAATTGACAGCTTGGATGCAGCTGGACGATTTGGACTTCGCAGATAATCTTGCTCTTCTATCCTATATGAAACAATACGCCTCAACATGCACAAAGGAAATATAGGAATTGAAGGCAGATATCGAAAGAATGAATAGAACGTGGAAAAATCCAGAAAGGGGACCCAGGACAAAGTTGTTTGATGAACCCTAAATGACTCCTTATGCTCCTACAAGTAACATGTGTAACTAAGTAAATAATATATAAGCATATTATTTCACCACAGGGTGATGCTGCTTTTCAGTTATATCGTCTCTCAATAGCAGTTTTTTTAGAGTATATGTCTATAATTCGGTTTTTGAAAGTGATTGTTAGTTAACCGCATTGTATTATTGTGTAATATACGTCGATCAACATTCTGTTTATCATCATATCCAATTCTGAGAATTTTCCGACCATCATTTATATGTATGTGATATGTTTGGCTTTATTACTCGATGTTATGAGATCTGTTCTCATATTTCTGTTCATTTGAAATGTCATCAGTTAATACAATATGCTTTCCCCCAAATGCCCTGGTACGGCCGAGAGTGGGGAGAGTCCGCTCTCCCTCTCGAAATGCTCTCACATGGCCATGCGTATATAGCCTCTGCCAGGGAAGTCCTACTCACTGCCTTCTCGTGGCAGGGGTGTTGTTTACAAAAATGAGAGGACGAAAAGCGAATGTCTGGCGCTTTAACCGGACCCCAAACCAATGGTGCACATGGGCTCCAGTATCCTGCGGGAACAAATGGCGTATGAACCAATTTCTTGGTCACCGGCTTCCATGGGACTGCATCTCCTTACGACGCTCCACTGCCTTGTGGGTCAGACGTTCAGGTCAACGGCTCAGGTTGTGGCCCCCTAAGAAAACCACCTACTTCGGTTTGGGCACCCGAGCAGTATCACAGCCCTCACACAAATCAATTGAGATTTGTGTGGCGCATATGTATTTGGTGCCTCCCTGTACCTATACTTATGTGTTAAAATAAATAAATACAATATGCTTATTACATTTATTTGATTATAGTCTATCAGTAGCATATCCTTGGGTATATAACTACAATCATCCTGATTACTCTGTTAGTAATAATAATTAACATTTCAGGCTATCAGCTAATAAAATACAGTTTTCTCTCTTTCAAATTTTAATTCATATCATGACAAGGTTTAAAAATATCCTATGGAATAGTTTGCCCTATTGTTGTCCCACCAATTATTCAATTTTATCATTTCTCATCTCGAATTTAATTTATATCAAGAATTGATCATTCAGTTCTTTTTTTTTCTTTAGGTTCAGCGCATTGTTATTGTACATGTTGTAATAGACCAATGCCGAGTCGAACAACAACAACAACAATTCCACAACTACATAGTATAAATCGAACAGAATGTGAAGTGTGCCGGCGTACATTTTGTTCTTTAATCAATCCATATGGATGTTCAACATGTGATGGTTATTGTTTATCTCGTGTACAAGGTGAGTAATCATGTGTCCACTAATGAATGTTGTACTAAGTTGACACACATAGTTATCAGCTTAGAAAGGGTTAATTGGTAATAATATTGTTGTTAGTAACGAATAGACGCAAAGAATTATATGTAAAGATGCTATTTTTATCATTGTTTACATTACGGATCAGTTTCTATTGGTATATATGTCTCCTAACCTAACTAAACTAACTTGGAATTTTAATAAATTTAGGTCGTAGCTTATGGTGGAATCCAAGACTCATATTTTGTCTTTTTTGGGACTTGCTAGCCAGTAATTAAAAGTCATATTGGAGCAGTTCTCTCAAGATAGACATATGTTACTAGAGGCTGGTGATTATTAACAAACTGGAAAGATGAAGTTCTTACATGTAATTTAACAACCGTTGAAAGACTTAGTGGTCATCTGAAAAAAAGTAATTTGATGAGTAGCTCATTGAAGTGATAGTTATTAGGTTCAAGTCTAAATGTGAACATGAGCTCTAGGATCCAGGTACATCTAAACGACAAGTCCTAAATAGAACAAAATTCATTTCTTGGATTCCACCGTAAGTCATAACTAAAATGAAGAATATAGTTTGAGAATAAATAATAAGATAAAAGTTTTGAAGTAAGTGAAGATCGAATGCATCTATGTCAGTGATACAAATCTAAGTTCATTACACTTGAAATCATTGCACGAAACTCAATCAGGACATTTGTCCCTCTCGAAACTGCTTGGATCACTAAGCAAGAACTGTGTGAACTGATGTTGTTATGACGTAACTTAATCTCCATCCAATCTACTTCTAAACTCTTGTGATGGCTCCCGAAAAGCCCAGAGAAGCCTCTGGATAGTCTAAAGGAGCGTAAGAGGTTCCACTCAATCAGAACCCAACTTTCTAGAATATCAACGTGGTATGCTATGGTTGAACAATCGTATAATTTCCTGCTTCGGGATTGGCTGGATTATAATGCTATAGTCTATACTAAAAACTACGAATACCCCTGTTTTTCTGTATACTTTTTGATACTCAACAACCGCTTCTCCTAAATTCTTCCGTCTTTTGATTCTCAACTGTGGGTTTCTTCGCGTTTGAGCACCGATAGCCGTATACCGTATTACCCGTAATCAAGTAGAGAAAATAACATAAACTAGCTTTTGTTGCACGTCTGAGTATGTGTTGGTAGTTTAGCATGTATAATACGTGTTTCAGTTATCCTAAACATATCAATCAAGTAACCTTTTTATACGCATCAACATACACTTAACCTTAACATTGCTTACTTAATCTTCTTATCTTAAAACCTGGTTGTCTGTCAAAAACATCTGTCATCTAGTGTTTACAACGCTTATGTGTTCTCTAACTTACAACCAAGTAGGTCCCAGGTTTAAACCCCAATAGCTGTCAGTCCCCCCCCACCTGAAGTGTGTGGTTCAAATCCGACTACATAAACCGCCTGCACTACTACTTTATAAATGAAATGTATTAATCATCTGTTTAGTTGATGAACAAAATTTCACTAGTTAAATTCTTTTTCTTGATATTTCATTGATTTGATAATATTTCTAAATAAGTTGCTTGTCTTGAATATTTTAGATTTGACTAGATACAATTCAATACCTCGTAATTTATTATTGAATAATCGTATAGAGACAAGAATTCTTGATGTAAGTTATTTATCTTGAGAGAATGAATTTTGCCGTCTTTTTCTTCCAAAAATTTTTTTATTATTTTTATTTTAGGTACAGTCACAGATTACAGTTTTCTTTTGTTTTTTGTTCATTTGTATTATTTGTGTATTCGATAACTTAGTGTATGATTTGCACTTCATTACCAAGTTTATTGAGCTATAAAAGTTAAGTATGTATGTGTGTCTTTTTACGATAAGTATTCAATTAACGCTTGGTCCCTGCTTCTGTTTGGGCACCCGGGCAGTATCACAGCCCTCACACAAATGAAATGAGATTCGTGTGGCGCATATGTATTTGGTGTCTCCTTGTACCATTACTTATGTGTTAAAATAAATAATAAAAATAACGCTTGGTCAACCCAAGTATAGATTGGGTGAAGACGAAAACTATGAACTCAGCTGTATTGTCGAATAATACTCACCGTTCATCAGTCAGTCAGTCGGCAACAATGTAGAACTTCGTACGTACGTATATCAGTTCGAATCGCCATACCACATTAGCACAGAGATGCAATTTTCGATACAAATCCCATAGTGGTAGAGGTAATAAAATTATAAGCAGTAAACGGAAAAATTAGGGTTTGGAGATGTTATTCAAGGAGTATAATACAGTGAAACATATTTGGAAAGAGAAAAAATGGAACATGAAGAATTCAGAAGGTTAGAGTTTGGGAGAACACAAAGAGTGGATGCACCTGCGCCATCGCAAACGATTTTGAGCCATGTCGTTCAATGTCTAACCATCTATCGCTATCGTCTCGCAATCCCAACCAGGTAGTCTACACCTACCAACATGGCCTAGTCCACTTGTCAGTGACTTCATGGATTTGTGCCATGTTTTGGTCTGACCGCCCCTAGCTTTCTTCCAACCTACTCCTACACCACAAAACATCGCACGTCGGGGAAGTCGGTGGTCGAGCATACGTAACACATGTCCCAGCCACCTCAACTGATGAAGTTTCATTACTTTCTCAATCGATTTGCCATCCTTGCCTAGTACCCGTTTCCTAATAACTGCATTACTTACTCGGTGGTTTCAGGATATACGAGCAATGTTTCAAAGATACCTATGATCGAATACTAGTAACCTACGAATATCCTCTACTCTTACCGACCGTGTTTCACTGTCGTTAAGTAGGACGGAACGAACTGCTGCGCAGTAAACCCGTCCTTTGGTTGGTAGATGGATATCTCGCCTACGCCATAAATGAAGCAAGTTTGCAAAAGCTAGTCTAGCTTTCTGTATCCGTGCTGAGATTTTGTCACACGTTTATTAATGGCCAGAACGGCCCAAATAACTATATCAATAATCCATTTTACTTAAAATAACCCACTTTTACATGTTCCTCACCTACCTTGAGTTATCGTGTAATTTGTCTTATTTGGCTCTGAGTATCACATATAAGTAACTATTTGGTTAAATAGCATGTAACCACTGTTACTACGGTGCATTTATTCCACTTGCCAACTATTTCCTGCACAGTGCTAGAAACATAAAATTATCTACTTATTTGTTACAAGTAGAATTATGTTGTGCGCTACTTATTCCCATAAGTAGTATATAACGATAGTCAGGAATAGAATGTATTTCAGTAGAAGATCAAGAAGGAAAGAATGGGAACAGAAAGCAATCGGTATGGAAATGCAGGAACAATGAAATCTGAGACGATGGACTGATATTTCCAAAAGGAACAGTCAAGTTTGAGACAATTGATTGATATTTTGCACATTAAGTATTCACCGTATGGTTGTCAGATCTTAGTGAGATATTCTGTAATTTTGTGTTCAAATACATTCGACTGTCCCCACTCGTTTCATTCTAGCACGGAACTCCTCAACAACGTGCACTTTTGATCCTACACGCGGAACTCCGACCCAGAACCCTCGATTTCGCGCGCGAACGCTTAACAGTTAGTTTAATAATATTGCAAATAAATCCTCATCTATCGTCCTTATGTTATTATTTGCGACGTACGTTTCATGAGTTTAATCATTCAGTAGCAGTTACCTGTCGTTATAAAAATTGTCGATGGGTATTTTGGTAAATAAAATAAATCTACTACAGTCAGTTTTCGTATTCTCATTTGCATCTGGGAAATTGCAAAGGTTTTCAGTATCAATTATCACAGTACATCTCACGTTTATAACTCCGCCTGGAGCCCCTTTCCGGGGGCTACTGCCGGTCCCAAGCCCGGATAAAGGAGGAGGGTTGGGCATGGGGTTAGTGACCCCATCCCGTAGAAAACTAACTCGCTAAAAAAACGCTAACCAGAAAAAATTATTCAAACCATTTAAACTCTGCCCTGGGAGTCAGAAGGTCTTCGTTTAGAAGAATTATGACGCCTCATGATGAAAGCCGAGTTTCTTCGGAAGTCACGAGGCCGATGCCCCTTCTGACAACCAGAGCAACCATTTATTTAGGTACATGGAATGCTCGCACAATGTGGGAGACTGGGAGAGTTTTCCAAATTGCTGCAGAAATGAGGAGATACAATTTAGAGGTGCTTGGGATCAGTGAAACACATTGGACGCAAGTTGGACAACAACGACTAGCTTCAGGAGAGCTGCTGTTATACTCCGGACATGAACAAGAAAATGCTCCACATACACAAGGAGTTGCATTGATACTGTCCAAACAAGCACAAAATTCACTTATAGGATGGGAATCTCATGGACCAAGGATCATCAAAGCCTCCTTCAAAACAAAGAAAACGGGCATTACAATGAACGTCATCCAATGTTATGCGCCTACCAACGAATACAACGAAGACGCTAAAGACCAGTTCTACGATAGGCTGCAGTCAATCGTCGAGAAGTGCCCAACAAAAGACCTGACTATTCTAATGGGAGACCTAAATGCCAAGGTTGGAACTGACAACACCGGATATGAAGAGATCATGGGACGACACGGACTGGGAGAAAGGAACGAAAATGGTGAGAGATTTGCAAATCTATGTGCCTTCAATAAACTGGTCATAGGCGGGACTATATTCCCACATAAACACATACACAAAACCACATGGACTTCACCGGATCACAGCACACAGAACCAAATCGACCATATCTGCATTAATAAAAAGTTCAGGAGGACGATGGAGGACGTGAGAACCAAGAGAGGAGCTGATATAGCATCAGATCATCACTTGCTGGTCGCCAAGATGAAATTGAAACTCAAGAGGCACTGGACAACGGGGAGGACAATATCACAAAAATTTAATACGGCTCTTCTTCGGGATACTGACAAACTCAATAAATTCAAGATAACCCTCAGCAATAAGTTCCAAACCTTTCATGATCTACTCAATGGAGAAGGAACTACTATGGAGAGCAACTGGAAAGAGATAAAAGAAGCAATCACTTCAACATGTCATGAGGTTCTGGGCCAAAAGAAGCACCATCACAAGGATTGGATCACGGTCGATACACTGGATAAGATTCAAGAAAGGAGGAACAAGAAAGCAGTAATCAATACCAGTCGAACAAGAGCAGAAAAAGTCAAGGCACAGGCTGAATACACAGAAGTAAACAAGCAAGTGAAAAGGAGCATCAGAACTGACAAACGTAAATATGTGGAGGATTTGGCATTGACGGCGGAAAAGGCTGCCAGAGAAGGAAACATGAGACAAATGTATGAAACAACAAAGAAACTCTCTGGAAATCACCGTAAACCAGAACGACCAGTGAAAAGCAAGGAAGGCAAGATAATCACCAACATTGAAGAACAACGAAACAGATGGGTAGAACACTTCAAAGAACTCTTGAATCGACCAGCCCCACTGAACCCACCCAACATCGAAGCAGCACTCACGGACCTCCCAATTGATGTTGGCGCACCGACAATTGAAGAAATCAGCATAGCTATCAGACAAATCAAGAGTGGCAAAGCAGCAGGACTAGACAGCATTCCAGCAGAGGCACTGAAAGCAGACGTAGCGGCAACTGCAAGGATACTCCAAACTCTCTTCAGAAAGATCTGGGATGAGGAACAGGTATCAAAAGACTGGAAAGAAGGACTTCTAGTCAAAATACCAAAGAAAGGCGATCTCAGCAACTGTGACAACTACAGGGGAATCACTCTTCTTTCAATACCAGGAAAAGTCTTCAACAGGGTATTGTTAAACAGGATGAAGGACTCCGTAGACGCACAACTTCGCGACCAACAGGCAGGATTCCGTAAGGATAGATCGTGCACAGACCAAATCGCAACTCTACGGATCATTGTGGAACAATCAATTAAATGGAATTCATCACTCTATATCAACTTCATCGACTACGAAAAAGCATTTGATAGCGTAGACAGAACAACCCTATGGAAGCTTCTTCGACACTACGGCGTGCCTCAGAAGATAGTCCATATCATACAGAATTCCTATGATGGATTAAACTGCAAAATCGTTCATGGAGGACAGTTGACAAAGTCGTTCGAAGTAAAGACTGGTGTCAGGCAAGGTTGCTTACTCTCACCCTTTCTCTTTCTCCTGGTGATCGACTGGATCATGAAGACATCAACATCTGAAGGGAAGCACGGGATTCAGTGGACATCTAGGATGCAATTGGATGATCTAGACTTTGCAGATGATCTGGCTCTTCTATCGCATACACAACAACAAATGCAGGAGAAGACAACCAGTGTAGCAGCAGCCTCAGCAGCAATAGGTCTCAATATACACAAAGGGAAAAGCAAGATTCTTCGATACAACACAACATGTACCAATCCAATCACAATTGACGGAGAAGCTCTGGAAGATGTAAAAAGCTTTACATATTTGGGCAGTATCATCGATGAACACGGTGGATCTGATGCAGATGTGAAGGCACGGATTGGCAAAGCAAGAGCAGCATATCTACAACTGAAGAATATCTGGAACTCAAAACAATTAGCAACCAACACCAAAGTCAGAATTTTCAATACAAATGTCAAGACAGTTCTACTGTATGGGGCGGAAACCTGGAAAACTACGAAATCCATCGTCCAAAAGATACAGGTGTTTATTAACAGTTGTCTACGCAAAATACTTCAGATCCGCTGGCCGGACACTATAAGCAACAACCTACTGTGGGAGAGAACAAATCAGATCCCAGTGGAGGAAGAAATCAGGAAGAAGCGCTGGAAGTGGATAGGACACACATTGAGGAAAACACCCAACTGCGTCACAAGACAAGCCCTCATATGGAATCCCCAAGGTCGAAGGAGGAGAGGAAGACCAAAGAATACATTACGCCGGGAAATGGAGATAGATATGAGAAAAATGAACAAGAATTGGATGGAACTAGAAAAGAAGGCCCAGGACAGAGTGGGTTGGAGAATGCTGGTCGGCGGCCAATGCTCCATTGGGAGTAACAGGCGTAAGTAAGTAAGTAAGTAAATCTCACGTTTACAATATCCTAATTTAAATATTATTAGCTGTCTGAATTTGATTATCACTTCCCAACATCGTTTGTTTGAATTACAAACAACAGAATAATTTCTCGACTGATATTGTTTACTTAAAGCATCTATTCCAATATGATCTTCACTTCAATGAATCGATTCGGTTATGTTCATTTGATATTATGTAGTGTTACCATGGTTTGTTTAAAGCTAGAATATATCCATTTAAATTATTTTACTTCAACAATCTTATGCATGTCGATCACTGGGAACGACTTTAATTTGTTCGATTGACTTTTAGTATACTGGTTCTTTCAGTATCAGGATATAAACATGATAATAAACAAAACCATAAAACAAACTAAAGTAATTCTGACAAATATCTGGTTACATTGGAAAATATTATTTTTAACATAATATCTGAAAATGTACTGGATTCGAACTAGTTTAGGATAATTGGCGTTTACTAACAGATAAAACAACACCCTAACTGTAATCAGTTTCCAACGGAAATTACCTTAATAGTATACAAGCTTCGTGAAATTACCCAACTTAGTAACCTTCCAGAGCTAGTTTTCACCACAGACTAAACTCATTGTGGATACCATGAATCAATTGTAGTTAGATCTGTGTACCGTCGAATGTCAACTCAACAGTCTAGAGGGTTCATTCTCTAGTGGAGTCGTTGATACACATTGTTGAAGAGTCTCACAATATAAATAAATGGTTGTCTAACGCTTCCTGGTATTCAGTGATATCCAATCTTGGTTAATACCACCTCTGGACACAGTAGGTTCACTTAGGAGAGCTGGAAAACTTTCATTCCAAACCATTAGTGCATATGGGCTTCAGTATTCTAAAGGAACAAATAACGTATGAACCAATCGTTGGTGACCCACTACCATGGGACCACATCTAATTACGTTGTTCCACTGCCTTGTGGATCAGACCTTTAAGTCTAAAGCTCCGAATGTGGCCCCCTTCAAGAAAATCATCTTCTTCAGTCTGAAAATCCGGGCAGTATCATAGCCCATACATAATACATCAAATTCATTGTATGGTGCATATTGTATTCGGTGCCTCTTTGTACCAATATTTATTGAAATAACAACAACAACAACAAAAATTTTTTTGTTTTTTATTTCTTTTTTTTAGGATTATCTTACATCTCAGGGTATATCAATACCAACATTTATCAATCATTGTTTAACATTTTATATTAATACAACATCAATTTATTCATTATGTTTATTAGATAGAAATTCATTAATTTGTAAAAATTGTAGTGAACGTTTACTTAGTCAATTAGCTTATCAATATCGTTTATCTATATGTCCAAATGAATTACCAACTAATGTAATTATTAAACCAAATTGTTATTATGGACAATATTGTCGTTATCAAAGTTATAATTATAATCATGCTAGACGTTTTAATCATATTTGTGAAAGATCAATTTAATTTTAATTTTTATTTTATTTCATTTCATTTATGAATATTTCTTCATACTACTTTTTTGCTAATAAGTAGTCATTAGTAGTATATACAGTTTTGTTGTTATTATTATTATTATTATTGATTTATTAATCTATATAACAATCTCTAATATAATTTAATGAAGATTTCTGCATTTAATTTATAGAAATTGTTCTATTTTATTGTGTTAAAGATTCATAGAGACTAATCATACAGTTACCATTTTGTTTTGTTTTCTCCTCTTTTTTTTTTGCTTATTTTTATTTCTCCTTGAAAAAGAAATGTTCTTTTTTTTCAAATCAGAATTGTTAAAAATTTCTATTAAATAAATTGAATATTTATTACAATAGTTGAGATTATGAGTTAATTAAAGGTAGATTACTATGGAGAATCTGGAAGCATTAGATGATCGTTTCGTACTACTGTGGGATTACTCAGCATTGATTGATTTAGTGTGTGTATGTATGTATTTTTTTTTGTTGGATATGTCTGTTCATTTTGAAAAACAATGAACCAATGGATACATGTAGTTACTTTAAACTAAGTTTTTTGGTGAGATTATAATTTACGGACAGTGTTTGAGCAACGCTAAAGTGGCCTATAGAGTGTTTACCTATAATAACTAGGATGAAATGAAGGTTCTAAACCTGTGTGAGGAGTTAGAATTATGATTTACAGTTGATGGTTAGCGATTAGAAATTAGATTTCGAGTTCTCATCACAAACTGACATCAGCTATAATGCCAAAATGGTATTTAGCTGAATAAAAGGGTGAATTTCGCGCCAAAATTGGAGACCTGTTATCTTATACCTGATTGGTTCGTTCATAAATTATAGTCTCGCCATAATCGCAAGCTCCAATCGTTTGCATAGAATAATTATTCAGTAGTTATTATTAATAGTAATGAATAGCATCTGTAATTTTGTTTAACAGTCTGAATAATGGTTCGTATACACTTTAAAACTCAAAATTCCCGATAATAAATACACCTGAAACCGGATAAATACAGTGACACTATTGAAGTCTATTTATAAACTGTGAATTCTACATGACAACATGGAGAACTGTACAAAGTGTATACCAGATTGAAAAATGAAATTGCAAATGAATTAGGATATACCTAAACGACCCTCCACTCACCAGTTGCAGTCTCTGTTATGGTAACTTTTTAGTATCAGGGAAAATAAGTGATTAAACATTAGGAATGGATATCACCTACCTGGAGACGGACGAAGAGGATCCCAACAACCCAAGAGTAGTGTTCTAGCCAAAGAAAAAGGGCAAACATCGAATAAATCGCTATGAACAGTTAACTATTCAAAACAGTAGACTTTCTTAACACCATAAAAATCAAATAGTTATCCCATTGGGAATAGTTCCAGTCAACTGGATTAATTAGAAGAACAAAAATCTACTATGGCAGCTATCAGAATTCGAGATCTCAAATAAAACAGGGGTGGAACTGATGAATCTAATTGAACACTAGATTCGGTCTCCTAAGCTCTTCTAGTAACCCTCAGGCTAACTCTACACAGCAGCGTGAACACTTCAAAATTTATGAGCAATCTGGTTATAATATCTGCAGAATAATCAAAAGATTAAATGCGTAGTCAGATATGGCAAACTCGGAATCGAAATGGCGTTACTCGATCATGCAGGCGTGGTCACAATGTAGCGTAATTCTTTTTCACATTAAACAGATTATTCTATCACCAGCCCAAATGTGTTCTTCAGAAGTGCAAATTATCATCTACTATAGTTCAGCGATAATATTCTCGAGTATAAGAATCTATCTTTGCTGGAGTTTTTTCTAGACCCTTTTAACCACAAAAATCCTGGTCCTTGCACTTTGTCTATGAAATTTGTCTAGTTTGAAAGGAGGACGTGCAACAATTTTGTGTACTTCGTAGTGAGTCTGCGAGTACTCTCTAAACAGTTTTGGGCTGTTTGTGATAAGCTGTCTTCTCATAAAGCCAAGAGTGGCATCCAAGCTATCTGCAAGTAGTAGTTACAAGTCTTAGAGTGAATCTTCATGCTGTATCTAATTTGTTCGTGTTTCGTTGGTCTGAATATTTGTGATGTGGCATTTTGACAGGTCATTTTTCAACCCACTGTTCACTGCTCACTTCCCTATTGTCATTAATTTTTTCTGAAGCTCATATGAATAAATTTCTTTGTAGACCTCCAGATCTTTGGAACATCTGCACTGATTAGTGACTCCGAGCCATTAATTATGATCAGAAAGAGGAGCAGAACTAAGCGAACCGCAAGAGATCGTGTAGCTCTCCCACATTATAGAGAAATCTGAAACAAATGAATCGCCTCTCCAAAACACATGTTTTGCTTCATGGGTGACGTTTTTTGTCCACGTACTGCGTCATTTGTCTACTGACCACTTCTCCCCCTACCTGTGACAGTATTGGCAGTAATGCTTACTATCTGTACCAAGCAGGATCTACTATATTTTCTCCTTTACAGATTGGAGAGAGTAACTAGTCTCCATCCTTTAGGAAGTATATATGGCTCTAGAAAGTGCTCAAAAAGATTACAAACTATTGAAACGATTTTTCCCGTACACTGTTACGGAATTAGAGATTGGGTACTATCACATCTTGGTGACTTTACGTGAAGCAGGAATTTTAGTTTTCTTATACTAACTCACAAGTTAGCTGTATACTAACCAGGCGATCAGTTAGCACCAGGGTTGAGGGGTGTTCTCTGCTTGTAGCTTTCTGGCTAACCAGTCGATAAGTTGGCATTGAAGATTCCTCTCATCCTAATTTGGTAGAATTTCTGCTATTTTGACCTTCAAGAGCACAGATCTCTTGGTCTGCAGATTTGTGGAATTATAGTGTACTTAGGTTTTAGTACATTTATCTTTGTAACTATTACAATAGACGTTATCCCAAAATTGTGAATTTTTCATGACATGACTACCTAATCCATGAGATCTTATGTGGAGGTCACATCACTGTCTATTCTGACTCGTTGTATAGTGCAATCAGAAATACGATGTTTAGCACTTCTGAAGAATACATTTAGGCTAGTGATGGAATAATATGTTTTAATGTAAATAAGCATGCGTTACAATGATGACCACGCCTGTATGGTCGGACCATGCCATCTCGATTAATTGCTGCTGCCTTCACGGTTGCTGACCTCTCCGTGCTAAGCGTTGAACGTGAATTATCACTTGGAATCCTCAAGGAGAAATAGAGGAGAAGAGGAAGACGAGAGAACATATTACGCCGCGAAATAGAGACAGAAATGAGAAGAATGAACAACAATTGAATGGAATTAGAAAGGAAGTCCGAGGGCAGAGTGTTTAGTAGAATGCTGGTCGGCAGCCTTTGCTACATTGGGATTAACAGGCGTAAGCAATTACGTAATGTCGCTGATACTGGTTTTCTCTCAAAATATCTGATTTGGCTAAAGCGGTCATTCTTCGCTCCGTATCCAGCGTGAAGGGCCTCAGTTTGTTCTTTCCGAATTTGGGAGCTCACAGTTATCAGATGGGGAGATTTGGTGGTTAAGAGGTGGACATAAATGTGATTACGCATAGTACGTTACAAATAAGGGAAAATATACACTTCTTAATCTGTGGCTATAAAAATTATTGAATATACATACGATCATGAGCATTTTATGAAGTTTAGATGTACTAGTTTTGTGATAGATTTTTTATTTAAGTGAAATAAAATGATGCATTATATGCCTTGTATTTACTTCGTATACTTTGGAGAAAATTCAACATGTTAGGATTGTACACACAAGTGGGCTTCCTTCATCGTTCAACACAAAAATATGGAATATAATATCGGTGAAATATACGAGTTCTGGACCCAGATTCAAATAGATGGTAGGTCCACATCAGTTGATCGGAAATGATATGATCTCCTGTCTCATGTGAAGTTATAAGTCTCAATAAACACAGCCCGGATTACCGCAACAAGGTAGTTAGATAATGCCACCGTTTTGATGATTACTTGGAACAAAAATACATTGTAGAACAGATAAGAGCAGCATAGAGTAAGTACACTACTACATGGTATAGTCCGTAGCATAACATCGGTTGATCCAAATTAGTCACTATCTCAACGTGATGTTGTTCAGCAAGATGTTCAACGCTCAGTGGCCTGCCATTTAACGTGAAAACATGTCAGCTTTTTGTATGAATAATGGTTTCATTCTACTGTTATGACACTGGTTTATATCACATAGCACTCCAGGCTACTAAACTCTGGTTAGTTGCTAAAACACAGTGCGTAAGGAATAGACGATGTCAACGAAGTTGACATTTGAGGGCGTTGACCTCTAATTCGCCGTATTTGGCCTAATAAGTTTGGAGCTAATATATTTGTAGAATTATAGTCTACTTTGATATTAGCACTGCTATAATAATAGACCGAATCAGAAAATTGTACATTTGTCGTTTTATAACTGCCTAATCTATAAGATCTTAAGTGGAATTCACATCATCTTCTACCCCGACTCATCGTATCATATCGGTCGTCAACAGATGATGAAGAACACGTTTAGACTGGAGATAGAGCAATTTATTTAATATGTATAACAATTATTTTATATAAGTATGACCACGCCTGCGAAAAGTTGAGATTATTGCTATAATCAGTTATTTCCATAGGTATTGGAATCATTTTTATCTTCCTCCGCATTTTCGGAGAATAAATATCAAAACATCGTAATGATACCAAACAATCGTCTTGTAGATCGTATAACCAGCATTCATGAATTGTGATCACGCCGCAGTTACAATACGTGCTTGGACATAGTAGGAATTGAGGATAGTCCAGTTTGCCAATTCACAATCTGCAGTTAGAACTTAGTTGTTCGGGAATCGACATCTGATTTATGTTCATTGTTTTCAGTGTATATTGGCAGTCACCAAAATGACCGTGATTGCACTTTTTAGTATCTTGTATAGTGATGAGTCATGTAACTTTCATATACGCACCACAATAGGTTATGCGAATTACATACACAATGGTGTATTAAATCAAACGATAAAGGCAACTTATCGGAATATCTGGAAAGTATGAACAAGTTTCCCGGTTATTCGAGCAGGTCACCCCAAATATTGAATTGGATAATCGAATCCTTAGAAAGATTGGGGCACATTCTTTTCCTCGTTCTGATAGCATTAAATCGCTTGCTGAAACATCAGCCACTACCTTTGATCTGAATCGGTATAGGGTAAAGTGAGTTCTCGTTTGATAGATAATAACATTAATACTCATTGTCAACAGATGATAAAAACACTGAACACTATTTTATCTTGACTGTTATATGTTAAGTTTATTATTGAGATTTACGAAGCTTGAAACTGAAAATTTAGTTGAGCACCCGATTCCTATAAGTGTGTGAAAAACTACTGAACAGAATGCGAAGATTTACAAAGAAATTCTCAAATAGATAAATATGTCAAAATCAGATTTCTAGCTTTGTCTGTATTGTTCCAGTTACGGATAGGAGAATGCAGCCACTGAAGTTACTTACGTACTAAGTATTTCACGTTTGAACAAAAGGCAACTCAACATAAGATTATCATGTAGATCCGTGAAGCTGATCTTGTCGGTTTGGTCATCGGAAAGAAAATAGTCACAGATAATTCCATTGTCATACCATTGTTTTGTGCACAGCGGAATGCTTAATAAGTTGTTTCGGTCAAAGATCTATCGGCCTGGAAACTTCTAAGAAGCCTGAGCATCTATTGTATGTTTGGGGGGAGAGCCTAGTATATGGTGGAGCTCAACATAAACAAGGAAACAAGGATTTGTTCTCCTTCCACCTTTATTTATTCCGTTATCCCTTCTCTAAAGTTATAATGATCATCGTGACACACAAAAACATCCTCCGTCTAATTTTAGCTGCGTAGTAAGACTAGCTAAATTAGACGTCGCATACATTAAGGACTATCGTGCAGTATCGTAGTTATAAATTCATATGAAATTGCCCTGCTTTACCTTTTATGATCCCCGCTTCTTCCTGTTTTTATGTGCCCACTTACTAACTCACCTATCTGTCTGGTCAATGAAATCATTTACATATTTGTCTGTTCATCTTGGACACTTATTCCCTCCTACTCATTATCATCACAATCTTAAAGGCTTTGCAATCTAACTAACTAGCTTTCTGTCATGTAAAGTTAGAGCTACTTTGCCCAATAAACCTTTTTTGTGTATGATAAATCCACTCAAGAAGTTAAACTCATTCGTAATACTGCAGCTTAGTTTCTAAAACATCCACATAACACTACTGAAAATCAAAATTAGTTCCTAAACAGTGACACATGACCGCGAAAAAAGTAACCTGTTTACATTTATTCGTCTCAACAATATTGGATGTTGAAGGAAGGGAGTTCAGACAAAGCAGTGGCTGTCAGATGAGTCAAAACTCAAGGTCGTCCTTGGCTAGAACAATTAGCAGGTCGACGGAGCATGGAGAAACAGATATTCGGCTTAAAATTCGCTGCAAAACAAATGCAGCGTTGTGCTATTCGTTGCAATAAAGACGAGGTGGAATCTAAGAATAAATTGAAGGCTGCTATTAAGAAGGGGGACCATGAAGGTGCAAGAATCCATGCAGAAAATGCGATTCGACATAAGCACACCGCAACAAGCTATCTGAGACTTGCTGCGCGAATCGATGCTGTTGTCTCTAGGGTTCAGACAGCCATGACTACTAAGAATTTTACTAAGAGCATTATGACAGTTGTCAATTGTATGGAAAACGCAGCCAGGTCTATGGATATGGAAAAGGTTAGCTGTCTCATGGATAAATTCGAAAGAGAATTTGACAACATGGATATACAGTCAAAGGTTTGTCTAGTTATTTGTGTTGATTTCACTTAAATAGCTTGTAAGCTCCTCGCTAGCCAATACGATGTCAATTTCAACTCCCGAAAATGAAGTCCAAGGACTGATAAATCAGGTAGCTGACGAAACTGGAATAGAACTGAACTATGAACTCCCTGGTTCAACTCACGGTTCCGTTTCGGTGGCCCCTATTTCAGCGGAGGAGGAAGATGGTCTCACACAGCGCTTAGCTAGACTTAGACATTCGTGAGGTGGTTTTTTGTTCAGCTGAATTTGTTTCATTTCATTTATTTCCACTGATTTTAACTTGAGATAACCCAATTTTACGTTTGTAACCTGTTTTGTTGACTTTACGTGAACGTAATTTGTATTTATGAACACTACTTCAAATCAAGAGTGCATTGTGACGTTTCTTGTGGTGTTTTAGAAATTATGATTTATTTTTAAATCTACGTAATATTCCTTCCATCAAATTTGACTAAGTTTGTGGTCTGTTCAGGTCGGTGGAGAGATGAGTTCCATGATACTAGGTAGACATGACGAACACATTGATACGTTTGCCAGCTACATGAATGGAATTTTGTAGACATGTACTTATTTACATATATTTATTTATTTAGACATTGGTACGAAAAGGACCGAATACATACGCGCCACACAAATCATTCGATCTGCATGAAGGCTGGGATACTACCCAGGTGCCAAAACCGAAGTAGGTGGTTTTTTCGGGTATGGGGGGCACTCCGTAAGCCTTTGACGTAAAGAGATGCAGTCCCATAGTAGATTATAACTAACGATTAATTCACGCGCCATTTGTTATCTTGGGATCCTGGAGCCCATGTGCAACATTGATTTGGAATCAAGGTTTTCCAACTACCCTAAGTGGACACTCCGTGTCCATCAACCCGATTAAAGCGTCAAACATTCGTTTTCCATCCTCTCGATTTTTTAACATCACCCCTTTCGCGAGAAGGTTTCGTCTTTCCGTTAATAGGCACATTATTATTGTTATCATGGGAGGTTTGTGGAGATTTCTTAGTGTTATGGAAAATATTATGCATTTAATATCTGGTGCCACTATGTTACGAACAAACGTTAAGGGTTTCGCATTCTATAAAGAAAGCTGTTGTGTTTAATTTTTGCTCAGAGTAGTCTAACTGTAAAGTGTATATTGTCCTTCCCAGCCAGTTCTGATTTCTCTGACTATGCATGACTTTTGTATGTTCTAGTATTCCTGTTGAGGCATTTGTTGTTTTCTGTTCAAATGGTCAGACAAACTAATCAAAAAAACTAAACAGACTCGTCATATAATGACAGATTACAAAATACGATCATTGGTGAGTGAGATGCAATAAACTCATCAGTTATCTGTTCTACGGCAAGCGGGGACTACGTAAATCAGCCCCCGAATTCCCTGGTACGGCCGAGAGTGGGGAGAGTCCGCTCTCCCTCTCGAAATGCTCTCACATGGCCACGCGTATATAGTCCCTGCCAGGGAAGTCCTACTCACTGCCTTCACGTGGCGGGGGTGTTGTTTACGAAAATGAGAGGACGAAAAGCGAATGTCCGGCGCTTTAACCGGATACCCAAACCAATGGTGCACATGAACTAGCTCCAGTATCCTGAAGGAACAAATGGCGTATGAACCAATCGTTGGTCACCGGCTGGCTACCATGGGACTGCATCTCCTTACGATGCTCCACTACCTTGTGGATCAGACGTTCAGGTCGAAGGCTCGGTTCGTTGTCCCCTAAGAAAACCACCTGATTCGGTTTGGGCACCCGAGCAGTACCACAGCCCTCACACAAATCAAATGAGATTTGTGTGGCGCATATGTATTTGGTGCCTCCTTGTACCAATATCTATGTGTTAAAATAAATAAATAAATAAATCTCTTTTGCTATTGACCTTATTAATTTCATCCTTGCGTGCTAATGTGATACGGAACACTAGCGAAGATGGAACAGTCAAACATGAAACGTAAAGTACTATTTATATGACGTGAAACAGGGAAATGACCACTTATCAACAGGAGTAGCTGAAATATGCTACAAGTATCTAACCACGGTGTATATGAACATGATATACTGCATAGTGTACAAGTATGTTAGGAAAGCCGGCGATTAGAACTAGAGCATTATTAGTATATGATACCATTAATTCGTCTAAGTCGTAATAAATAGTAATTTAAGCGGTGCTGTACTTTATCAGTCGTGATAGCTTAGTTGTATAAATTCCAAATTTTGAACGCATTTTGTCTACTTTCATTCACTGGTTTTCTTAGTCATTTATTAACACTTTTATAAATATTGTTTTATACATATTGTACGTTCTATGTTCTATGCATTTGTAAACATTATTTTTTTCATAGTCAAAAACAATTCTTACAATCATTGCTTTCATGTGATGAAGTATTTGCATTGTATATGTATAGGGTTTCACTATAATGTTTAAAATGTTTTCTTTCGCTTTACAAGAAGACGTTTGTTAGTAATAAAGTAATTGTCAATATTTTTAATGGTTGGATTCACGGGTCGATTGAAGCTAGACCACCATTGAAAACCAGGGAGCACTGAATGACCGTTTCGTCTTAGTATGGGACTCCTCAGCAGTGCGTATTCACGATCCCGCCCCACGAAATTCGAACCCAGGACCTATCAGTCTCGCGCGCAAGCGCTCAACCACCCTCTCCGATTATAATTCTCAATATGCCTATTGTTTTTCCGATGACCACTTGGTCAGTATAGACGGTATATAAATTTGCTTGAAACATTCAGCTTATTACCTCTCTCAAGATAACAATATATATATATATATATATATATCGTTAAAAAGTTTCGGAAGAATAAAATTTATGATATGTACAATGAAATGCCATAGGATACTAACTACTCAAACTTCTATTACTTTGGATTATTGTTCGGGATATCGCAACTATCCTACAGTCTATTTCGATTATGGTTAAATCTGGTTAAGCCCTTTTATTAATTTACTTAACAGACAATGTTATTTGAACAGTAACAATTTCTTTGTACCGTTATGATCACTAGATCACATGACAGACTCGAGGTAAAATGTTTATTGCTTAAATATCCATGATTCATTCTCCTTCTCATGTATATATGTACTCAAATCCTATTACTAGCTTTTGCTTTAACTTGCTCTGCCCTTATGCGATTTGACTATAAATTTGCCTATGTAATTGCTCTCACATACACCTACTCACCTCTCTGCTTCGAATTTGCTCGATGTGCTTATAGCTTTGTGATCTGTGCTATCCCCCTAATAAACTGTATTTACCTTTTCTCATTGCTTTCTGATTTTAAACACCATTGAGGTTTATATAAGGGTGATTGATTAACAAAGCAAAGCCACTCCAGAGACTCGTGTGTTGAAGTCTGCACTCACGGTTAAATCTGTTTTTAGTTTTGTTTGCTATTAGGAAAAAAAATGATTAAGTGAAACATTATAAATATTGTTTATTTGGTTATACACAAGATGCATCTTCCATTAAATGATAATTTGTTATTAGTTCACTTGTAACTGTTTATTAATTTTTTTTTCGTTCAGATCATAATAGACAAGAATTAGTCATTAGCTAACAGTCAATCCTTTATAGTCCAGTTTTTGGCAATGTAATTTGTTAATCAAGCATCTAAGTTTATTTATTGAACTTTTCATCATATACGATTAGCGTGCCATCTATGTATTTACGTAAATAATCTATTTTACTTAAGATGTCTTTCAAAGGGGCTATTTTCTAGTTTGTCCAGAAAATACTTAAAAAATTACGTTGTATCAGACTGTATCTTGGAGTTAGAGAAATTTAGAAATTAGCTAACATTCATCTCTTTTCTAGAAGTTTCTAGAAAGACTACTGGAAAACTTGACATATAACTGCATAGCTATACAGAACCACAACTTTACACGACATCATGACTAGACAAAAGGAAGTGAACGATGAAGGAGTAGATCAGATAAAGAAATGGATAGGCACAAATCTACTAAACCATATAGACATAGCAACGGAACCTTACCACTAAAATATATTGATTCGGTTATGTTGATTTTCTTCATACTGATATTTACTTATATCTTATTTTGATATTGACTACGTTCATCTTGTCATTGATTGATTAATGAGTTGTTAGACAAAATAGTAAATAAACTTAAGGTGATATGTAGGAAAACATAATCTTGAATAAATATTAACATGACTAATTCTGAAGTTCATTTGGTAATGTTTGTTTGAATCTTCCCATTGATGTTTAGGACTGCAATTGATCAGTCTCTTATTGGCATATGTGCATACTGTGTGTATTGCATTGATATTACCTTAATTCACAAGCATTCTAAGCGAATATGGATAGTGGCTATCAGTGGAATTCAGGATGTGCGTTTCGTCCTATATGTACAATCGGAGACATTGTGATGACTGGCAATATACATAGAGAGGAATGAACATTATTCAGATGTCGATAGTCACGCGGACCCCAAACAAGTAGTCTACATCCACCAACATGGATCAGACTAGAAGTTAGTGACTTCAATCACTGATGTCACGTTTTGGTTTGCACGCCCCTAACTTTCTTCCAGCCACCCCCAACACTAGTCTGCATTGCGCGTCATGGTAATCCATCTCAGTTGATGAAGATTGACAACCTCATCAACTGATTTACCACCATTTACCAATACCCTGTGTCTGACCTCACTATTATTTACCCAGTGATCCCAGCAGATGCGAGCAATATTTCTAAGGCATCTATGGTCAAATACTAGTAGCTTACGAGTATCTTCCACTCTTAATGGCGACGTTTCTCAGTCGTAAAGTAGAACAGAAGGAACTGCCTTTCAGTGTACTCGTCCTTGAATTAATAAACGGACTTCTCGCCTTCGCGATAGTTGACGTAAGTTAGCAAAAGCCAGAAGAGCTTTTCGAATTCGTGCTGAGATTTCGTCAGACATCAACCCACTAGGGCTAGTCAGACTTACTACTGCCTAGTCTCTAACATCCACTGAATTCTGTCAAAATCAATGTTGAGGTTATAATTATATTTTTTGTGATATACTAATGACTAGAAGTACAATTTTCTTATGATTGGAATATAATAAAAAAATAAACATAATTATTATTAACTTCCTACCTAATCCTCAGTTTATTTGAAATAATGTTGAGATAGTTGTTCAAGAATTAGAACCTGGTTGTGAAAATATTGATTGGGTAGTGTTAGATCATTTTTCTAATGAAAG